ACTGCATGTGAATAAGGATTCATCTGCTGGTTTTCACCCCCCCTTTTTCAAGTCTCCCCCCCCTTACCCCCCCGTAATGGCTAAATGTTAAATAAACGTTTCACAACCACCAAAGCATCTTGAATGATCTGACTGTGTATCTGCTGGCGTCTGGGTTGAATTTTTTTTCCTCTGCGCCTTTATTAATGGGGACTTCCCCCCTTCCTAACCAGAATCCTTGACCCAAAGCCATCTTTGCTTTTTTTTTTTTTTTTGGGTACTCTTCCAGTTAAGATGGTGGTGCAAGAAGCTGAGCCTTGCAATGGCTCCTCTGAGAATTACAATCCCACTTTATTCTTCAGGCCAATTTTATGTCAAAGGAAGCGATTAACGGATATTTGAGTAAGAAGAAAGTTACGAGAGCCAACCTAACCCAGCCTCAGAAAATAAAGTTGTCACTGCTACTTTCATTATCAGGCTGATAAATGGTTGAGGAAGATACACATCCAAGTTTAATTTCTTTGAGGAAAAGCGTGTTACATATGATTTGCATTAGGTTTGTCTGCAATTCCAGGCAGCGTCATTTATTTATTTAAAAGCTTTGTATAGGCACCCGTCTTGTGTAACAGCCTTCAGCAGCTCACATAATGCTCTCACCTGTTTCGTCCATAACAACAACCCTGTGAGGTGGGTGGGGCTGAGGGACTGGCCAAAGTCACCCAGCCAGCTTTCATGCCTAAGGGAGGACTAGAACTCGGTCTCCTGGTTTCAAAGTCCAGCCCCACCACCACTACACCAAACTGGCTCTCATATGTGGTGACTGGAAATGTTTAGCCCCACGTGACTGATCGCTGGTTTTGGGCCAATTGCCTTTCCTCTGCAATGTCTAGCTTGGCTCACTTGCTCGAGCCCACCGAGGCAGCCTGTTTTGGCAGATTGCGATGGGCTACAGCATTCTTCGATACCCTCACGGTGCAATAGCTTAAAATACAGGATGCAGCTTTGCAGAGGAGTATTTCTTTCCCCAGTACAGGGTTGGGTTGGGTCACACCTTATCCCTTCTGATTTCGATATGCTTTTTCAAAAATTAAAACATTATGACTGCAGACGGTCCTTTTTATTGTTATTTTACTTATCTGATCAAGACTTAAGATGTTCTACGTTTTGCTGGGCCCACAGGGTGAAAAAGCAGAACGTCTTGCATGCCTAAAACTCTGCCCGCTCCCCACACGGTACACGAGAGCCAGGAACTTGATTCTGGAATTTGGAAACAACAGCCAAAGTACTTGGATCACAGCCCAGCAAAATGCTAGCAGGTTTAAAGGGTTGGGGAACTTTAGGTGTTAAGAGGGAAAACCTTGGTTTAAAGCAGTGTTTCTCCACCTTGGCCGCTTTAAGAGGGTGGACTTCTGGGAGTTGAAGTCCACCCATCTTAAAGGGGCCAAGGTGGAGAAACACTGGTTTAAACTCTCTGTTGTAAAACTTCTTAGCTGACCAAGCCAGGCCTAGCCTACCTCATTGGGCTATAAGCATAAACAGCAGAAAAGAAGAATTATGGACATAGCCTGAAACTCTTTAAAAAGAGCTAGGTTTTATGTTAGAGCAGGATCGCCACCGAAATAACCTGCGGAGGAAAAGCACGGGAAACACTTAAAATTTGAACTGTGCCCCATGCCAGATGCTAAGACTCCGGGGCAAATGTTAGTTTACCGTTCAAGGGTCTTCACCGCCACTGACCAACGTTTTGCAAGTTACGTATTCTCAACTCGGCTTGCTAACTCAATGGAGGGGGGGATCCCGTTTAATGACGACCGCCCTGGCCCCTAACTTTTTGCTTTAGATCAGGCGCTTGGCTTGCCCGGCGACCGCGAACTCGCTGCCAACCTGGGGTCTTGCGTTCCTCTACATCTTCCCTGGCACAGTGTTTGAAAGCGTCTGGCAAAGCTGCTCCCGTCTCGGGCGGCGCCAACCTGGGCCCACCTGGGCTGGAGCACCTTAGAGAGGCTCGCTCGTTCCGCCCAGCCTCTCTCGGTCCGGCCAGGGTGGCACGGGGTGGCACAGC